AAGGGAGAGCGAAGTACGCGTCCACGGCGCGCAAGGCTGTAACAAGCGGGAATCAAAACTACAGAGTTCTGGACTGTTTTCAGAGAAGTTACAACAAGCAGAGCCAAGCAACAGCTAATTTGAAAATACGCGTCTACTGAAATTCACTGTCCGAGCCAATCAGGACTTCTACATAATGATTTGTGTCGATTTCAGGACATATAAAGACTTGTATTTTCACGAAGCAAACACGGCAATACTTCCTTTCACCCGGACCGCAGCTGGGAATATTCCATCCATGAAAAAGACGATCAATAAAGCAACAGCGGGAAGTTCGGGCCCGTATCTGGTTCCCTGACTGCCATATGCACCGAGTTTTTTGGTATTCTAATCGTGTCAAGGTCACATGCATTGGCTTTCACCAATGTGCCCGTATTTTATTGATGAAAAATCAAAGATGTGCCTTACTATGCTCCAATTCACCAATCCGCCCGGATTCCCACTGAATCGAGCACAGCACGTTTCCACTGGGGATGATGATGATCAGTGCAGCCAGCAGGGGCCTGGATAACCATTTCGAGCTTTATTTGTATTATTGAGTAGCGCCGCGCGCCAGTGCACGGCAAAGCCCGTTAGCGTTTCCTCTCCTCCTCGCGGTTCTGATCGCACGCACTGAAGGTGCTAACAAATCGGACGTGTCTGCTTACACAACCTCTCCGTTTCCATCCATTCTAACGCCCTGCGGCTCAAGTAGCAAACCATCAGCGGGTGTTGGCAATACCGGTAGCTCAGGACCTACAACATGTCGGTGCAAAGGGAAAAATGTTATTTCTGGCGCGCAATAAGCGAGTAGGCCCCTGGCTCAGTTTGATATCATGGACTGAGCTCGCGCAGACGCTCTCGGTACAAACTGAACACACATTGTTGCGGAGAGGGTCAGGAGACGTTGCCTGTAGAAACTCTTCTTTTATGTGATCTCTGGTCTCAGTGGGCGCAATTTCGGGCCAATCCTTCCGAATGCGGATCACATTGTCATTGGTAAGATCTCAGACAAAGGGCAATGTGTTCGACTTTTGAGGTGATCAACGAAGCCTTTCAATCTGGGACGAAGAGTCTTCAAGGAATCAGGCCTCAGGCCTCAAGAACGAGAAAAGGAATGTTCAAATACGTTGACACACATTTTAAGCGGTTTTTCTCGAATACGACGGTGTATCGTGTTGAGCACAAAAATCTGGACATCACTCATCTGATTAGACCGCGCGCCACAAACGGCAACATCTGTACATCCATATATGATGTAGCCTGTCATTGGTTGAGTTCAGTGTGCAGGAGCCAGATGTGATATGTTGAATGAGGGGCTTCCTTAAATCCTTGGCCACCGACGAGCGATTTTCGACTCCATGTGCGGATGCAACGCAAATCAAAGTCGGTAACTGGATAGTTTCGAAGCCGTCAAATATATCCTGTATGGATACGTACTTGCGTGCAAATCTGTCACGATACCTTTTCAGCTGGGTAGTCATTCACGGTCTTGTTATTTTACTGTCTAAATCACAAAGACCAACTGACGCGAGGCAAGATGTCAGATTTTCAATGGAGAGATTCGAATTGATCACAACGTCAACAATATAAGCATTCATGTCAGAGAACGTAGAAAAAGCCGACTTCAACTTTGAGCAGGCAGCACTGGGAGAAGCCATGTAGCACGCATTCAGTACGTGACTCAAAACAGATAGCCTAGCATTGTTGACTAAAACATCTTGCAATTCAACGCCATGCTGCTTGCACAACACACGGAGGTCACCCGCATTGTCTGAGAACAAAAATAATGAACTGGCATGATCATTGAACATGGAAGATATAATATTGATAGGGTTTATGACAGGATCATCGCCATCCAGTGATACTGAAGGATGGCGGGACATGGACTGAAAATGAGAAACGGCATGGTGTTCATAGAGTCAGCATCCGATAGGAGGTCTAGTCTTGCCCCAACACGATATTGGTGGCAATCCCCTCACATGTATGAAGTTGCAGGCTCACTGTAACGTCCGAGTATGGAACAACAAAATGAGAGTTCGGAGATGGAGCTATGGAGGAGGACTGAATGAACCCCTCAGAGAGCAGACTTTGTGACTGAGAGACGTTGATGGAGCAAGTTGCACAAGCACCGTTGACGAGGGCCATGGGGTTATGGGGGTTCATGGACGTGAGTTCCATTGCGCTTCCGGTTTAGACGACGTCCGTGAGGAGAGGTGGCAAAGGGCAGAGGAGCAAGGACCAAACCGCTGAATCGTGAAGCACTGGCGGAGCGGTGAGACGCGTTATGTAACAGAACAAGAGCATAAGAGCAAATATCCCGCGATCACATGACACAATCAATTTTTCAATCTACCCGAGGAAACAGATCGTTAAAGACCCCCTCTTACCCTTTAGCTAAGACGCTAACGGGAATGTGGCAGGTGAGTTGTTCCCACGCAATAAAGAGGGTGAACGTTAATGGTAGCAAACAAAATGGTTGCTTAGAATCCATGTCTGGCTGCAAAGTTCTTTCATTTCTTCATGGATTCTTTTTACACAATTATTCTTGGTGTCGATTCCAATGATGCTTTCCTAAGTCTAATACACTTCAATTACTCATATATTCAAAATTATGCCCGGCTTGGCATTGTACATGTTTGGCTTTGTGGCTGTGGTATATCTCTTGCTTGACGTTAGTGCTCGGTATTTGTATACATCGTAGGGCTCTAGATTGCACGGCAGATTGACAGGCAGTGGGTACACTCGTGTTCGAGTCTTCCTTCCCAGTACAATGGAATTACGATTCTCACTGAGCAAAATGGTAGGACAAGAGCCCTAAGTGCCGCAGCGGAGTGCGGCTGCCTTGTATGGATATAAAATTCATTGGGTCTGGGCAGCAGTATTGTATCATGTGACTGATTACATCATTGAAACCGAATTCCTTACAAATCCTTTCCCATCCGACAACTTTCGTGCTCCGTCGGTTGCCTGCCAGGGTCTTGACGTTTTATCCCAGTCTTCCTACACGAGAGCCCGAGGCTAGGAGAACGCGGATGACGCGGAATTGGCATTTTCCGGCAGTCCAGCCGTCCAACCATCCAGCTGTCCAGCCACCCGTCCAGCCACCACAGCCGCCCGTTCAGCAGTCCACCCCGCATTCCGACGTCAAACGCAGCACCGACCACGAACACAAACACGAATTATGAAGGATACGGCTATTGCCTTGTTTGCCGCTTTTGTTGCGGTGCGATGTCATTGCGATGGTGTATCATATAACTTCATCGCTCACCGTTCTGCTTGAGCAGCCGCGAGCGCGAGCACAATCGAGGAAGTAGTGACAAGGGTTTCTTACAGTATCTGTATGTTTGCTCCAATGTAAAATACTTGGACATGAATATTCCTGATATTTTGCCTTCAGTGACCCCAGGATTGTTGTCGTATCTTAGGGCCTTGTGTATCCAGGTTAACGGAGAATTCGCATTTCGGGGATGTGGGAACACAAAATTCACCAACTTGCACCACGGGCAAACTGCTATTTTTTGCTGGAGAAAAAAGAGAGAAAATGGGTCGAGGTGAAAACCCCCTTCGCCGAGTTTTCACCGCGAGAAAAGTCAAAGGAAAGATAATTATTGCACCCGAGAGAGCGCCTTTTCCGAGCGAGAAAAGGTTAACAGTTCCCCCAGAGTCGGCAAAATTACCAAATTAGGCATCCATAATTGGACATTCATCCCTTTCTCACCCAGAAAAAGCGCTCTCTCGGGTTCAATGATAATCTTTCCTTTGACTTTTCTTGCGGTGAAAACTCAGCGAACAAGGGTTTCACCTACACGCCTTTTCTCTCTTTTTTCTCCGCCGAAGAATGACAGTTTTCCCATAGTGTTGTGATCTTGTCGCGTCAGCCACAAGTAGACAGATAGCCCCTGCCCTTCGTATTTGCCCTTATCTCGTATTCAGTGCCCCTGACTTCCAATCCCTACGCCTTCGGCGTACAGACTGCTCACGCTATGAGGTGGTAGAGCTGCGGCAGCTCGCCGGATTGGATCCGGGAGCACAAGCACAAATCCATGTTTTTCAAGTACATAATCCGGTAGTAATAGAGCGAGGCGATACAAGAAAGCGAGCTGAGACGCAGCTTGTGATCAGTCGAGGAGCAATGCTGAGGGACGGAGAGCGGGTGACTTCAAGCTCTGGCAGGGCGCAGGGATGAGTAACCGCGCACCAAGCTAGCTATTAAAAGACAGTTTGCCTGGCAGGGCACGAGGATGAGCAACCTGGGGCTCCCCACTGCCTGCATCCTAAAATACGGGCCACTTGCTGGCACCCGAAAACAAGGACAAGTGCCTTTGGAAAGAATTTCAATCAATGCAGCGTCTACTCCATTGCGACTGGAACGAGAGCGCTTCCCAAACGTGCGTGTGTATTTGCCGTCAGTACCCGGGGTTGTGAAGGCGTGGTTGTCGGTGAGATAGTTGCTCGCTGGCTTGTGCGTAGAGCGTGACTTCGCGTGCACCCGGGGCACTGGCAACACGCGAGGGTGTCATGCACTCGTCGTGCACACTTGACTAGGATGGGACTGACTAGACGAGAGTCATGAAATTCATCACTGGTGGAGTTATGGACAAACTCAATGATGGTATCTGCGTGCGACGCGAGCAGTAGCGCATCGGTCGTCTCAGGATATCCACTTCATGGAAGGACGATTGCTTGCTGACTGGGATTGCGCGAGGATATGGGCTGGAGAGCTGGTGGTGGTGTCGAAATTGGAAAGGGATGACTGATATCGTCACGGGGCTCGACAGTCCACTGCTTGACCTTGCTGCTTGCCGATGGGGTGGAGGACTGAAGTGCAGGGTCGATATGCGGGGGTGCCGACTTGCATCCGCCCAAGGACGTGCAATGTGTAATGTAGCCTTGTTGTTCTTGACAGAGAGATGAGTCCTCTTCTTGAGAGCTGTCGTAGTCGCCTTCGCCTTTGACACGATTTTGTGGACCTGAGCTGAACAGCCGGGCTGGAGGAACGCGGGGCGGACGGCTGGACCGCAGGAAAATGCGGATTCCGCGTTATCCTCTGTGCATCAGCCTATTTTGGTAGTTCCGTATGTTTCCAGACATCACAACGCTAACTAAACGGATCTCAGTGTATTAGGTTACGACTATGTGCCTTTGATCCATCTTCTATGACAATCGCCTTTACAATAGTAATAGGCACCCTTGTACTATAGCGTATTATATTTCCCCACTTTATCTTCGCTTTTTTGTTTCACTAGTGACACTAATTTGTTCTCGAAAATCGGAGATCGGATTCGTACACGAGACTGTCGAAACATATTTATAAGTCGAAGCCTTTGGTTCCGCCGCTCATTCCACTTTGACCTCAAACTCCATCACCTCTATCGCCCAGTGAACAATGAAGACACTTACTGAATCTGTTCTGTACCTTCGCAAACCGACGAATCGTAAGTTGGCGCTCCCTTCACCAACATGAACCACTTGATACCATAGTATGCAAAGCGAAATACAACCTAAGTAAATTTCGATACGCGACCCCAACCCTTTTGGAGAACCCGAATGAGCGTCCAAGCAACACGTCTGACAAGCTCGTCGAACTACTTCACGAGATATCTATTCACAAGAACAGCCAGGCGGAGTGGGCCGATTTCATTTGCCAGCTTTGCCACGTATGTTGCGTACTCGAACATTCACCCAACTCTCAACATGTTACAGGAGTTAACTGACTTTCAGACTCACGACGGAACAGAGGACCTGCGCATCACGTACATATGGGACAAGACCCCTGACTCGTCACCTTACGCCACCACATCCCCTTTCACAATCTGTTTCTACAGTACCAGCGACCACGAAGACTCTGTTTGCTGCACCCTACCCCAAATTCTACTTCATTTCATCGGCGAGTACATCAATATCCAGGAGAACATCACCGGAGTTGTTCCTTTGGTGAAAGAATGCATTTCACATATCGCCTTTCACCAAGCCCCTGACGCCACGTCGGGCCTCATACTTTGCACGGAAGCTTTTCGAGACGCGTTCGAACATGTGACGGCAACCCACCCCATTCAAAAAGGATTTCATCACCCGATGACTTCTTTAGCCAAAGTGCCCGACGGTATCTTTGATCGATTTCGCGTTGCCGTCGCATTGAGATGCGAAAGGTATGTATTCTTCATACGTCACATTTCGCGTATTTCTCTAACATTCTACGTTCAAGCTTCCTCGGACTAACAGAAGAATCTGTTCCTGGGCTTGGTGGTACGAATGTGTAATCGCTAGACGAAATATTTACCGCACCTTTGTATAACGAACAACCAACGTACTAGTACTGTACCTACACGACCGTAGGTTCAAGGGATTTTAGCGTGACATGCAACTAGAATAAGTTCCAAAAAGACGGAGGTTCAAACCTCCAGTGAACGTGTGACATTGAACTAAGGTATCCCATCCTCGTCAGCGTGATGCAACGATCTCCAGGAGACGTTGCCAAGTACATCATTTTTAAACTTCTTCCATGGCATCGGCAAGTCTAAGTTAGCCTTCAGGCATGCTCAGCACGCTAATCGGCGTCGAGCTCTTATCTTAGACTTGTTTCAGAGCTTTCAGTCCTTGCTTGACCCTGTCGATGGCAAGCCAACAATCAGTAAGTTCGTTTTTCATTGGCTCTTTCTTTGAGACACATTGAAATTGACCTGCCGTGGTTTTCAGAATCAGACCACTTTTATTTTCTCTTCAGCAACAGTGTCTCGTCGTTGACACGCTGTTCAGCATCTTCACCTGTGTGTAGCACGCCAATGTAGCCACTCTACATCGAAAATGTGCTGT